TTTTGGAAACTTGATTTTATCTGCACATGCCCTTCTGGAATTATCCCATTGTGATGATAAGCAATACACTGGCATTTTGGTTTCATGATGAGAACTAAGCCCATAGGATGGAAATGCTCCAGTTTGAGTGGTCGAGGCACCCTGGTCTCAGTAGGAGAATACCTGTGGGTGAAGAAATGAGGCCCGAAAGTGGATATTGGAGGGTCTTAAGGCGCCATTCTGTGTTTCTCCTAGTGATGTCATCTAACCTCCACCAGAATGTAAATTTCACTCAAGGAAGGACCTTGTCTGTCTTCTTCAAATTTGCATCCACCTCATCTAGAACAGTTGAAGGTACTCAACTGGCTGTTGAGTACTAAGAGGCTGGCTAGCTGTTTGGATGAATGTTTCTTATTTTTTAGAGTCACTGTCCCATGAGAAGTTTTCCTTGACTCTTTTAGGAAGATTAGACTCCCTCGTCTGGTTTCCATGGCACTTGGAATTAAGCACTTAAATTACAGAATCGAAACTACAGATAGAAGCTTGCTCATCTATCTTCCCTAAAAGATTGCGGGCTCCACAAATGCAGGGATCCTGCCTTATTTTTCCATTTAACTAACTATAGATACTTCAGAGTAGTCTAGCACATAGCAGAATAAAATAATAACACTGTGGCAACCTCATGAGTATCTCTCAGCTTATGGGATATGCTTATTAAGTAGATCAGGATATTGCATTACTCGGGACCCCTTTGCTTTTTCAATGGTGATGCATTATTAACTTCTTACTCTTTGCTTTTCATTGCTTCCAAGGGAACAAACATCCTTCTATTTTCAGCTGCTATTTCAATACCTTTCTGTTGAACCTACAAATACACTGAATGGTTTCCATAGATTACATTTCCAGGATCAAACTAGTCACCTCCTGATGTGGTACAAAGAGGCACCTTACCCTCACAAGCAAACCATCTCTAAGTCTTAAAATAGCATGCATTAATACCATCTAGAGACAGCACATCCCTCTTTGGTTATATGGATTCTTACTTCTCTGCTCACACAAACTAAAGTCCCCAAACTGGTCCCCACTCACTTTTGGCTCATCCCTTTTATCACCTATGGTCCTCTGGAGACTGCACTTCCTCTCGTTAGTGCACTTGACCAGGTCACATTTCCTTTGGGGTCAGGTGGGGATTTGCATGGTACTACTCTGACCACTCTGAAACAGCAAATGTCCTCATGCGGCTCCAGTCCTGGATCGTCCAGAAATAATATTCGATGTTTTGAGACCAGACATTTAGGAAGTCAAAACATAGACTAAATGGCAACCACACATTTAAGATCAGGGTAGGCTGAAAGTCTGAAACGGGGTAGGTGCTCAGGTTAGGTGAAATTGGCGATAACCAGAGACTCATGATATAAGCCTGATTCATGGATTTTGCTACAGCCAAGGGTTCCATATCTGCTGTTAGTTTGCGGGAGGCTGAGCTCATGGATGTGGATGGTTTAAGTGGCCAAGGAGGTGGTGAAAAAGAAGGCAGGAAATTTATAGTTCTTTGGGAAGGTTCTCGGAGTATGGGAGCAAATCTCAAGGCCAGAATGACACAGATGTACATTTGTGGGGTACACACCGCTGGGAGATGTACATCAGCCGTTGGTCTCCTATCTAAAGCCCACCCTCATCTCCCAGGAGGCCTTGCATCCTGCGCTTGTGTTGTCGCCTGGATCCATCCAGTTGTCTTGCACACTGAGAATCCCTGTGGTGACTGGTCATTACTCTTTGAGGGGGCAGCTTCATTATATGTCTGCATTCTGCTGGCTTTGAAAGTCATTTGGGTCAAAACCAGAAGTTGGCCAGTATGTAGGCCTAGCTATCTATACCTCTCAAACACACCTTTCCTTAAATTCGATTATTTCATGGCTGTTTGCCTTCCGCGTGCATCATTTACAAGTTAGCCTTTATCATTGGTCCCCATTTCCTATCCACAGTTCCAGCCTTTTTTGCCCAGTTGTGGTTTTCTAGAGGGCTTCTTTATTCTGTCTTCTTCCGTCAGCCTTACTAAACTTTCTGGTATTCTTGCTCTTTCCAGTGAGTTCCTCCTGCTAACCCCATGTCTCTACTGTCCGGGATTCATCTCATCATTTCCTGCCCTGGTTTTTCATGCAAGAGAAAGAATACTTTCCCCAGATCCTCTTCTCGGGAAAAGGAGAAGAAAAACACACATCTGTCTAACCAAAGGTTTGTGGTTTTTCATAAGTTTTCTCCAATTCAAAATGTGTGAAATTGATCTATGTTTTTGCCATCTCTCTCAAACACTACACCAGTGTGCATACCTGCTCTTACTTCCAAATCGTGAAGTAAATCTCTTGAGGACAAAGACCATACCTCATTCTTCTCTGCAAGCCCAGCATTTAGCACAGTGCCTGTTACAAGGTGGGTACACAATACATGTTTATCGAATGAATGAATGAGTGAGTGAACATATAAGTGGAGAAAATGGGACATGGGTGTGAATTTCAAAATTCAGATTATAAATTTTTTTGATCATTCAAACGTGGTTGAATGATAACATAGCTGGGGTTTTTGACATTAATAGTTTTCTTTGTCACCAATACTTAGAATGTAATTCCTGTTGAAAAATACAAAATATAATTACAGATCATGTTTGCAAAATAACACTGATAACAATGATGTTTCTTTACTTGGGAATAAGTCTATTAAATAAACAGATCAATATAGTGGTCATATTTTAAGATTGTCACAAGGATAAATATTGAAATAGCCATTTGCTCTATAAATATGATTCAAAATTCTATGCCACTCCTAAAAGGCAAATATAAATGTTAGTGAAAATAAGCAAGGGCATTAATAACTTGGTATAAGTGGACTTTAATATGGAAAAATGAGAGTCCATTCATATGGTAATAGATTTCACTGTGACCCGTGGGCTTATGTCCCTGCCAAAGAAACTCTAAATATATACGCTTCTGAAAACTGAGAGAAATCAATTATATAATAATTAAGTAAAAGATAAAGTTACTAACTATGTGCTAAGTAAAAGTTTTCAGAGAAGGCCATGGTTAAGGCATTCCATGGGTTTTACTTTCAATTATTTATTTATTTATTTTATTTTATTAAAAAAAAATTTTTTTTTCAACGTTTATTTATTTTTGGGACAGAGAGAGACAGAGCATGAACGGGGGAGGGGCAGAGAGAGAGGGAGACACAGAATCGGAAACAGGCTCCAGGCTCTGAGCCATCAGCCCAGAGCCTGACGCAGGGCTCGAACTCACGGACCGCGAGATCGTGACCTGGCTGAAGTCGGACGCTTAACCGACTGCGCCACCCAGGCGCCCCTACTTTCAATTATTTAAATCATAGTTTTCAGGTCTAGAGAGTCGACTTTGTATGACATACATAATCAAGCATAATATATATTTTACTCAAAGATACCTAATACAGGTAAGAGAATTTGACAAGTAATGTATATTATATGTGGATTTCAAAACGAAGGGAGTTCTTTTCATCAGTGAAACAAATCATAGCATGTAAAAAAGGGTAGTAAGAATAGCTATAATACAATTGGAGCTTAGTTGGGGGAAATAGGATTAAACCTGACAGAAAGTTTACAGCAATCCCCAATGCTGAGTCAGAGAGAGAAAGCCAAAGAGCTTCACGGAATCTGCTGATTCCAGCTTTGCCGAGATCGTACCAAGAAAACATCTGCTTTATGGCTAAAGCCAGGTGTGGTCTGTTGAGGCAGAAAGGGTATGTCCCGATGCTTGGGATGGGCCAACTCTTTGTGCAACGAAACAAACCCATTGGCTGTGGTGTGGAGGATTGCTTACCAGCAGAACACAGAATTCACTATCTTGGCAGCTATTGTTGATCTGTAAGCTTTAATAATGTTGAAGCGATACGCAGGTAATTAATTCTTGAATAGCTTAGTAATTTCAATAATCCAACAGTAAAATAGCTTCGGTGGGTTTCAAAACTAGATGCAACTCGATAGAGACAAACCAACAGACCGAAGACAAAATCGTCTCAGAGTCTGGGAAATGGTATCAGCAGTGAATCACACGCTTAGCAACATACAGATTACTGTTTGCTTTTTGTGGTTTATAGACATCATACTGACCTTTGGCTGGAGAGATAGGGAGGAAGGGAGAAAACTACTGTCTGCTTCCTGCCTGCCCGGTTACCGTCAGGGGCTCAGGACCACGGAAGCTCCATGGTGTCAGACGCCTGGCGTGTTTTACTGTGCTGTCTCCACCGATTAGATCCGTGTTGGTGGGCCCACATGGACGGGTTTACCCTGCTACCCGAAAGCCCAGTGTTCCTATGAAACCTTTCGTAAACCAGAACATCAAGCAAAAAGCAATTACCATTAACTTATATGGAGAAACTTGTAAGCGTTCCCAAACCCCCCAAATTAACTCTCGTAGACTTTTCTGATACCACAGGACACATCTTGCTAATGGATACACAAAATAAATTGAGGTAAAACTCATAGACACAGCTCAAAACTCTGGCAGCCTGAAGACGAGATGCTGAGCACGGTTCCGGGGAAGCAGGTGGTGGGGCCGCTCTCGCTGCTCGGGACGCGTGCTGCCTCTATCGTGGTTCCCTGCAAAACACATGCGGGATGCTATGGTGGCTTTTTGCCTTTTTTTTTTTTTTTTTTTTGTAAAAACGAAAATCCTCTTTATTTCTTGCAGTTAGTAAAAACAGGAACTGATGTAGATCTTTCTCAAAAGCAAAGCGGTGAAACACGACCTTTCGAGAGGTGGATGATACCTATAGCTGGAATTCACCAACTGATAGAATAGATGTCTGTCGGCTGGGACTGCCACTTTTGTTCTTGGTTAGTCCCCTGCCAATGCAGAGGGCTCCTTCCAAGCAGAATTGAATGGCTCTGCTTTTAGCCAGTGGACCATAATTTTGTGTAAACTCATTACTTAAGTTTACATTAAGATTCACGGAAAATGTCGTTACATGTGATCTTCTTAGAGTTAGTAATGCACAACCCTTTTCTGAAATCCTAGAATGGCTCCTATGTCTATTTCTATCTGCAGATATATATGGGACGGCGAAATGTGTCCTTAAATTGTGTCCTTTTTGTTATCACGGTGACTGTAATGTTAGATCACACACTTAACTATTATTTAGGTTATAAAATGAAAAGTGCTTTGTCGCCATTCTTACGAGCTACCTTCTTTTCAATACTTCATTATTTAATATTTATTTATATTCCAGGTTTTGGGGGAATTTTATTCGCCTTACCCTTGTTTGTGGGCAGCCTGGTGTTTTAAAAGTCTCAAGTAAACATGTGTGTGCACGTTGTTTTGCAAGATGTGTTTTTACGCATTAAATAGTTTAGAAAAGGCCAAGTTTCTATTAAAGCCAGGTGGCAGGTCTCTGGATTAATGACTCCTGTGAGTACTTCAAAGAATATCCGTGCATCAAAATTGTGGTCAGAACAAAACTGGGGAGGGAAGCTAGAGAATTTCCCTTTATATGTGAAAAGGCAAGTTCAAAGTTAAAAAGTTAACTGCCTAGAAAAGCACTCAGAAAAATGTGTGATTTCTCTGCCTTCAGAGGTCACAGGATACACCTTCAGAGGCTTTGTGATTTCATCCAGTTCCCACGTCACCTCCAGAGCTGTTCTCAGATGATTAACAGTCATAGCCAATATTTGCTAAGTGCTTGTCCTTGACTTCGAGTGACTGGTGCTGAGTAGACACCGGTCTCCTCCCTTCCTTCCTGCCAGCTTTGAGGAGAATAACAGTGGCGATCACCAAAGCTTCCCAGACTGGAGTGGTATTCTGAAAATACCCGAGAAGTAAGGCCACAATTAGAGCAAAGGGGAAGACTCAACGTTTAATGTGGGGAGGGCGTGTCTATCGTGGGAGAAGAGACGTTCTGATCATCCGGGGAGGGTTCTAAGAGCTATTCTGGAAGTATCCACTTCATCTTATTGGCCTTCTGCCAGCAGCTACAGAGCACACGAAATCATTCCTGAAGTCTGTTCTCAGCTGATGAGTCCCTTCTGCTGGTGGTAAGTCAGATACTGGCCCTAACCTTGGCATCCACTGCCTGACTGACCGCGAGGCCCAGGAAGGAACGGCCCTCCTCCCTCTTAGACGGCATAGGTTCTGGGGGTGGGGAGAGTCTGGAGAGACCCGTGGAAAGACCTTCTCAGCTACCTGGAAATAAGGTGGGAGCCGGGAGCTGCTCTGCCCCGTGGAATCAGTCTATTCGGGCTGCCAAGACAAAATACCGCAGACGGCGTGACTTAAACAACAGAAACTTAATTTCTCACAGTTTTGGAGGCTGGGAGTCCAAGATCCAGGTGCTGGCAGGGTTGATTTTCTCTGAGGTCTCTCTCCTTGGATTACAGATGACTGTCTTCTTGACGCCTCTTTACAAGGTCTTTTCTCTGTGCACACGCATCTGGATGCTCTCTGGGTTTCCTAATCTCCTTTTCTTTTCTTTTCTTTTCTTTTCTTTTCTTTTCTTTTCTTTTCTTTTCTTTTCTTTTTTTTCTAACTTTATTTATTTTGGGGGAGAGCGCAAGTAGGGGAGGGGCACAGAGAGGGGGACAGAGGATCCGAAGCAGGCTCTGTGCTGACAGCGGTGAGCCGGATGCGGGACTCGAACCCACGGACCTCAAGATCATGACCTGAACCGAAGTCGGATGCTCAACCTACTGAGCCACCCAGTCCCCTAATCTCCTTTTCTTACAGGGACACAAGGGCACCAATCAGATGAAATCACAGCCCACCCTCCCGCCCTCGTTCTAACGTAATTCCCTCTTTAAAGACCCGGTCTCCAGATGCAGATACTGGAGGTTCTGGAGGTTAGGGCTTCGACATATCAACTTGAGCGGGACACAATTCAGATCACAACACCTGCTAAGTTTTCCTTTTTTTTCTTTTTACAAAAGAATTCAACCCACCCGCACCAGTACTGTTAGGAAAAACCTTAACAAACGACATTAACAAAACGTCGTCTCAGAAATCAGGAGAATTGGGTTTGAAGCCAGATTTCACCATTAATCGGCAACTCCCTGAGAGGTGTGTGGAGCTCCTCACAACTTTAATGTATGTGGAGTCTTTCCCTGACGTGGGGAGCGGGGTCGGGGGGGGGGGGACGCCTGGCCCAGTGGCTTAGAGATCACACCTGCAGGGGGGGACTGCCTGCTCCAAGCTCCAGTGTCCCTGTCACCAGCTAATTAACCCTTGGCTGAGTTCCCTCCTGCCTCTATCTCTCAGCTTTCTCTTCGGAAAAATGCAAATAATAATTGTGCCACCTTCCTGGGCTGGTGTGCTGATGAAAGGAGGCATCTCTCACCAGAGCGGTCTCGTAGTGAGTAATCATCGCGAATTAGCCACTGTTCCAGTTTGTGTCGTTACCCGTTCCTTATCTCCCTTCCAGGCCCTTCCCCCACGTTAGCACACATCCGATGCTCCCTTGGTTTTCTTCGGAAGTGGGGTGTCTGTTGAGGAATGCTCGTCTTGGGTCCTCTGAACCTACCAAGTATTGTCCCACCTTGGCTCCTGCAGAGGTGAGGGGAAGGGGGAGATCCTGTGGCTGGGAGTGCCCCAGCGCTCGTGATGAGGACAAGGCAGGCAGTGGCCCTCCGTGGGAGGAATCTGTCTCCCTTGACCCTGCTGCTGACGAGGATGGGGGCACAAAACAGAGAGGACAAATGTGCTGCCCCAAGTTCATTAGCACCCTGGAGAAATGGCTCCACGTACACGTGCTGTTGTGGAGGCACTACCACCATCTTTTCCTGCCGATACGAAGATGAACAAAGACCAACCAAATGAGAAAGACCGAGGCCATCCACTCAGAATTTGCTAGAGTGAGGGAGACAGCCACAGTCGCTGCCTCGCATCAGAGCCTCAAAGGCAGGCGGAGGAGTAGAGGGGAGCCTACGGGGAACATGGGGAGGCTTATGGGCCTGCCCAGATGGGAGCCTGGGGCCTGGAGAAGCTGGAGGCGGGCTAACTAGAAGTGGGTGTCTATGTGACTGTTCGGGAGGACCTACGTGGCTCTCTCTGGTTGGTCCTAAGTTGGAAGCAGGGACAAAAATCAGGGACGCTGTCAGTGATTAATCGAGTCCTGGCCATTTGGGGCCAGTTGTTACAGAGGCTGTTGATTGGCTGGCTGGACCGTCACAAGAGACAGCAGGTTGCCCCCCCTGGGCTGGTGACTGTGGAGGACGGCTTGGCTTCCTGGCAGGTGGCTGTGGGTTGTGGATCAGAGTTTAATTTTTAAATATGGGTCAGCCTTATCCATTGGTATATTCCGTCTCTCACTGAGGGCAACACGTCGTCCTCAGGGGGTTGCCCCAAGCAGCGTTCTTAGGATGAGACCAGCTGCTTCCCTGATGTTCTTAGGTGCCCACGCAGCCCTTCCCACACGTCTGCTTCCCACAGGATTTTCGCAGGGAGTGGTGGTGCCTGTTTTTTGCGGGGCAGTTGTGGCCAGAATGTAACTCTCTGCTGACATTTGTTAGCCTCCAGGGTTGTCTTTCAGAGCTGAAGCCAAAGGAACATTTGGGGCCAGAAGAAAACAGGTATTCCCATTTTACGATTTCGGAAGAAAAACGCTCTAGGAATTATCCATAAGTGGAGGTTGTGCGTATAGATGAGGATTTATTTGTTGCCATGAGCTCTTGATATGCAAATATACCTCTGCGAGGGAATATGAACTTGGAGACTGGGAGCGTCTGTCTGGCTGCATGATCCTGAATAAATTACTCATCTTTCTGAGCTCTCATAAATAAATTAAAGGCAATAAAACTTGCCCTCGTTGGTTTTGCAGATTTGCAACGTTCCTGTCTATAAAAAGAGTTTTAAGCCACCTGCTGTCATAGCAGCGTCTTCACTGTGCACATTTGTCCTTTGCCGGGCTCCTGCTCGTCAGAGCTCCTATAAGACACCACTATGCAAGCAAGGGTGGGCATCCCATGTTGCCTCTTAGCCTGTGGCATGTGCTACTTCTAATTCTGATCATGCACGTCTCCTCATGGCCTACGAAGTGAAGCTTAACCTTCGGAAAGGTATCGAGTCCCTCGAAAACTGGTCCTGGACTTTGTCCTCTGAATAAGCCTCCACTCCACCAAATTCAATCTGCTCATGGTTCCCACCTTGGCTTTTGCTGCTTTCTGTTGGCTACAATCTGCACGTCTCCTCGTCTCTATCCACCTTTGCCCCTGCTTTGCTCTAGTTTTCAACCTGGAAAGGCTGGATTCAAGTCTCACCTCTTCCAACGAGCTTTCTCTCACTGCCCCTGTGACCCCTTCTATTCTGAACAACGTCCCCCTGCTCCCCCCCCCCCCCCCCCGCAAGAGACACCCAACCTTCTTACTCATTTGGCAAATGAGTGAAACGACACATGATGTTTCTGGTTATGACTACCCAGTTATATTGTATTCTGCCTCTTCCCCTGGGTGAGAAGCTTCTGTATGTCAGCGCCTGTGTTTTGCCACCTGTAACCTCACTGTTTTCCATTGTATTGGATATTCATTGTATGTTTCGACGCACAAGGAAGATTGTGGAGTACAATCATGTGACATCGTGCCGTGTTGATCAGAGTGTGAAACATATTAGAAAACTACAGAGACTAGTTCTTGCTTGCTCTCAATAGTAAATAGTTCCCTGAAACCGTATCAGATCTGGAGGGAGAGGGGTTTATTATAGCTGCAGCTACAGTCATTCAGGTGGAAAAAAGGAGGTTGTACAATTTTTTTTCCAAAGGAAGTACAATGAGAGTCACTCAGGCTCTGTGTAGGGTTTCAAGTCTTAGAACACAGCTAGGCCAAGCCCTGCCCGTTGCTATTGGGGAGGTGCTATCAGGTGAACTAGACAGGTGTGCAGGGGCCGATGGGGGGCAATGCAGGTGCAAGGTAGTCCTGGTGAGCAGAAATGAGGAATCCAATAGGGAAGCTACAGAGAAGACGAGGATTCTGGGCAGAATGAGGGGTGAGAGCAAGATTGAATAAAGGGGGGGGCGGGTGCATAGCCCATTAGCTAGGTCAAACCCGGCAACAATGAGCCCAGGAGTGGGCATTGTTGGGAGGCCTAGGCGGACCGTAGAAGAGCCTGGTAGGAGTGACCCCCCTAATACTGGGACTCGGAGGCTGGGTTTTAGATCCTGGGAGGGGTCTAGACCTGTCCTAGAGAGCTGGTGATTCTATTCAAGGCTCAGCCATGGGGAATCAGATGAGGACATTCTGCATCGAGGACAGGGCCAATTTTGTCTCAAAAATAAGGAAAAGTCCCAGATAAGAGCTGGCTGCTGTGGATATGAGTGAAGATGACCTTGTGGACAGAGAGAAAGGATGTGGAGTTTGCAATCCTATGTGGCTGTGATGTCAGGAACGAAGGACCAGAGAAGGGAAGTGACTTTAGTGTCCAAAACCCCACTCCTCATTGGCAGCAGACCTAGGTTTAAAGCCCAGTTCTTGTGATTCCGCCTGGTGGGGTAGAGTGTTCTAACTTTGCCCCATCTCCACTGGAGCCCTCGGTGTCCGTGGTGGTGCCCTGAGGACAGTTACAAGAATGTGCTCTGGGAGAGAGCGATGAGGAGGCATTTAATGCGGGCAGATATGCATTTTTCTATCGATCGTTGAAGGGTTCTGGTGTAAGATTTTGACCGAAAAAGCTGTAGCTAAAAGAAAGCTTGATGATGAGTTTGACAATGACAATGACCATTTCAATTTCTTTGTATTAAGACATTTTTTTAATGTTTATTTATTTTTGAGAGAGAGAGCGCAAGCGTGAACGGGCGAGAACCAGAGAGAGACGCACACACAGAATCTGAAGCAGGCCCCGGGCTCTGAGCTGTCAACACAGAGCCCAATGTGGGGCTTGAACTCACAAACTGCGAGATCATGACCTGAGCCAAAGTCCGGTGCTCAACCGACTGAGCCACTCAGGCTCCCCTATTACAATTTCTATTCCCCTCTGGAGAGCCGGGGAGTAGAGAAATAAATGCCTGGAGTTTGACCGCACGGCAATGGCACAAAAATCCATCCCAGCAGGGGACATTCTCCACAAAGGGTGACAACGCAATATGCGAGGGAAAACGGTGCCTTTGGCAGGGATTGCATAAGGAGCCGTGGCATCTTAGATTCTCAGCAGCTTGCGGTAGCTGTCTCCACGGCGACGTGCCCTTTAGGAAATCAGTGTAATATACTGTGCCTCTTTAAAGTCTACTTTATATACTTACCACGCGAGGGGCTTATATAAGGGAATGGAAACCCATTTAAGCTAGCTCAAATAATAGAGGGGTGTGTTATATTTTTAGGACCCGAGGACAGAAAATGCAGAGCAACCTCAATGGAATCAGAAATTCAGGAACCCAGGGGCACCTGGGTGGCTTAGTTAAACGTCCAACTTTGGCTCAGGTCATGAGCTTGGAGTTCATTGCTTGGAGTTCAAGCCCCACGTTGGGCTCTCTGCTGTCAGCTCAGAGCTTGGAGCCTTCTTTGAATCCTCAGTCTTCCTCTCTCTCTTCCCCTCCCCCACTTTCTCTCTCAACAATAAATAAATAAACATTTAACGAAAAGAAATCCGGGAGCCCATGCTGTTCTCTTTGTCTTGCGAGGGCCTTTGTAGACTCTCACGGACCTTGTCTTTCCCTCCGCTCTCCTCTTGCCCCTCGCTGTCACTTTCTTCACTCACCCACATTCCACCATTACTGGCAGGCCAATGACATGACATCATACTTGGGCCACATTCTCTGTGAGGACTTTGCAGTTGGATGTTTAAGAGGCAGACACCAGTGGATTCAGCACCGTCTCCGGAATAATTCTCCCTGCGTCAGATAGCTATCCCTAGTTCCACAAAACACTGGGGTGGTGGGGAAGGAAAGCTAGTAGCGGGGAGGCAACAGTTGGCGTCTCTGCCATAGACTTTCAGAGACAGAGATCCAGAAATTCGGGGGTTCCCCAGGCTGTGGCACAGCGGGCTGTTCACTGCTGTGCCGGCTTGAGAAGATTCCATGAGGCTATTACACACATCTTACCATTTCAGTGGCCACAGTTCCTCAATAATCCTAAGGTCCCAGCACCTTCCTGGATGGATGGTCTTCCAGCTGAACCACAGAAATGGTATTTCTACAAATGGGGTCCAGTTGGGTTGGTCACATGACATTGACCCAAGAAGAACTCGGAACTTGCATTTGACGTTGGATTTCTTTTGAAGTTTATTTATTTATTTTGAGAGAGAGAGAGAGAGAGAGAGAGAGGGCTCAAGCAACTGGGGGAGGGGTAGAGAGAGAGGGAGAGAGAGAATCCCAAGCAGGCTCTGTGCTGTCAATGCAGAGCCTGATGTGGGGCTTGATCTCACCACGAGATCAGGACCTGAGCTAAAATCAAGAGTCTGACATTTAACCCACTGAGCCGCCCAGGCACCCTTCTCCCCCAGCCCCCCCCCCTCCTTTTTTTTAAAGTGACCTTGCATTTGACATGAACTTCCTTGTAGTGGTTGAGAGAATGGGTGCTGGCGTTGTACTCTGAAATTCAAATCGTGGCCCCTCTCCCCAATAACTATATGGCCCTGAGTAGGTTACTTAGCCTCCTTAAGTCTGTTTCCCCATTTGCAAAAAAGTGCATAATAAAACCACTCAGTGGAACATAAACCATACCCCAGGGTTAGAACAATATGCTCTAAAAACAGTTTTGATCCCTAGAAAGTACTGGGTAAATGTCACCGGTGATTGCTATCATTTTTGTTAATATCTTTGTCATGTCTTATGGACCCAAATGAATTCCAGCCTCTGCATCAATAGCTTCCTCACATCCTTTACAGCTCTTGACCTAATGCATTCCCCAGACCTTTGCATGTGCTGTTAACAAGTGCTTGGTGATTAATCAACTGAGTTTTACACTGTTGTGCTTTGTGGCTCCAAGTTGAAAAAGTTCTCACAATCAAAGATGGAAAAGGATGCACAGAGGGTGGAACCTTGACCTGATTTTGAGCAATTTGCTGAGTACTGAGAGCCCACCTTTCAGACCTTCCTTTTGGATGGTTTGAGTATGTGCCCCTCTCCTGAAATAAAGAGAAAACCCCCAAATCATTTCTCTAGGTTTTTTTTTTTAATTTTTTAAAATGTTTATTTATTTCTGAGACAGAGAGAGACAGAGGATGAGTGAGGGAGGGGCAGAGAGCGAGGTAAAGACACAGAATCTGAAGCAGGCTCCAGGCTCTGAGTGGTCAGCACAGATGCGGGGCTCGAACTCACGGACCGCAAGGTCATGACCTGAGCCGAAGTAGGACGCTCAACCAACTGAGCCACCCAGGCGCCTCTGATTTCTCTAGTTTCTTTGGTTCATGTCCATACATCTAAAATTTTCATCCTCTGTACCAAAAAACGTGCAATGTGTTCCTTGAGATTTACAAGGTCACAGAGTTGGAAAACCACCCAAGATGCTTCGTGATTCACTCTTTCTGGTGCTTTAATCCCTCAGGAGCCAAGTTGCCCTGAAGATCATGAACTTGTCTTCTGACCACTGCAACATATCGGATTGGCTGAGGCTGGAAGCAACAGTGAAGGCCTCTGTGTACGTGGTGGCCTTCTTCTTTGCCACATTCGTCACCGTCGTCATCATCACAATAGTGTTACAGAATTCGAAGCTGAGGAGAGAGGTCCGACACATCCTCCTGTGCCACCATCTGCTATGCATCTCCTCCTACTGTGGCCTCGGGGTGGTTTTCCAAGGGATGCGGGCTCTGCTGGCCAACAGCCCCGTGCTGGTGTGCTGGGTGGTATTTGGGGTCCAGCTAAGTGTTGGAGAAGGGATCCTCTTTACACTGGCCTTGATGGCGGTCAACACTTACCTGGCTGTTTGCTGGCCTTTGAAATCTCTGTCCTTGGTAGATTCAGTTAAGTACAGGATCTTGGCTGCGTCTTGGATAATCATTATATTCAAGAATGTTTGCTTATTCCTCATAGAAAGCGCTAACCCCCCTCGAGTTGCTGTTTTTAAATCTGAACCCCTGTGCCCTGTGATCTTGAATGGCCCTCCTGCCAGAGCCGTTGGCATGGTTTTCCTTTTCTTTCTTCTGTCCATCATTCTTATAAGTTACTTTCTGATCTACCGAGAAGGCAAACGGGCTGGCCATTTTAATAGATCAAATATCAAAGCAAA